TGGACGTTAATGTCCACAGTCATGTTTATGTCCGAGTCGCAGGTGAGACATATGACCAGGAACTCGGGCATTTCCTTTTCAATCCGAATGTGTCCGTGCCAGTCGCGTCCTTGATACCTCATCAGCACCAGCGACACGATCTCGCCTGAGACACGAGCGTTCAGGAGGTCTGACGTGCTGCCTTCACGGAGCTCGCAGCTGTCTACTGAGCTCTGGGGATGCAACACACCAGGTCCGATCAGGTTATTTTAGATCAGGTTAGTTTTCATTGGCTTATAAAATAATAAAACATTTCTAACAAACAGATGTGAATATCTGCAAAGACTCTTTATTATTGCATTGCTAAACCTTGATGGAGCTGTTAGGGTTACCTCCATCATGTAGCGAATGGTGTATGGCAGCAGGTTGCGTAGGGTAGCCATAGGATGGAGATGGATGACATAGGCGGGGTCCCAGTCCTCCTCTCCACAGCTGGTGATGTGTCGCAGGTCATCGGGGACGGCCAAAGTGCTGACCATGAGCGGCAGCAGGCTGCTTTCGGATGCGGGACACTGAAGCATCGACCCCACCTCTGAGCTACAGTGCACCTGCTCCTTCCAGGATATGCAGGTGGAAGATGGCGCGTACTGACCTGTCAGCTCTCCTGCTGGCTGCAAAAACAGCTGAGATCTGGAGGAAAGAGGAAGTAAAGACTCTCACCACCTCCGGAAGTTATGACGAGGCACCTGGAGCTGCTCAGATCCACAGGAACTCACAACAGCACCCAGAGAGTTTCAGGGACAAGATTGCACTTAAAGTGTCACAAATTCAGTTTGGAAAAAAGGATCTGCAACCAGAAGCTCGCCCATGTTGGCAAACCCTAATTTTGTAGATGTTCAGAGCAGCAGAGGATGTCTTTTACTGAGACAATCATCAAATCCACAAAGACTATGACTATGCTAACAAACAGTCTCTCGAACACCTGAAGAAGGTGGTGTGATTCTACCTGTAAGTTTCTAAGGTGACATGAAACTCCGTCTTGGGTTCGGCCTGTCCAATAACCTGCAGAGCTCTGGTTTGTGGAGAGTACTTGAGGATGGTGAATGGCACTGAGAAGTGATTCTTTATCTAAAGACACAAAGAAAAGTTGCCTCTAAATAAACCTGTCCTGCTTTTCTGATCACAATATCAGCTTTATTTAGAGCGTCTGTGGTTCAGACCTGCAGCGGCGAGCGAACCGTGATGACCTTGTTGCCTTCGTTGGCGTCAATCTGCAACAGCACAGATATGGCCTCCTGCAGATTCGGGCCGCGGATGTTGTAGAGGCGTCGACCCGGTTTGTCCACAGGGATGTTGGCGATCTCGCTGTATCCCGAGGGCACTGTATGGGGAGAGAAATAACACATCTCCAATCGCAAGCTTAGCATAAGACAACGCGCAGCACCAACAGAGAACGAGTGGGAACGTCTGACCGATGGTGAGGTTGAACAGGCAGCTCTCTTGCCGCTGGAGAGCTGAAAGTTTGCCTCTGGATGTTGGTTCGAACATTGAGTGCTCCAGTTCCATGTTCTGATCCACCGGCAACTCGTGGAGCTTTCCCTGCCCCGCAGATCCCACCAGTCTCAAGTTAGCACTGTGCTCCACAATGAAGGGAATTCCCAGAGAGTTTCTAATAGTGAATGGTGCCTTCTCCTTCAGAGAGTAATCAAAGGTGGAAGTCGTTCCCTCCGAGAACGCCTGATCAAAACACAGCAAAGGAAAAGGGCACTCAGTGATTCAACGAATTAACACTTTTTCAAAAAGTCAATTAGAAGTGATATTACAGCATCAGTCAGACACAAACTGAAGCTGTTCTGTACCTTGGCGAGGTTTTGGAAAACGTTGAGGCAGCACTTGGAGATGGTGACATTCATGGTGTCTTTGGAGCAGATGTTAACGACAGTGCGAGGTTCAGGAAGGAATATGAAGTCATCTCCGTGAACGGGGCTTTTGTCATGGATTGGGTTGTTCTTCATCTGCAGGAGCAAAAACAGCATCACTAAGTTCATCAGCCTTCAGCCGGTCGTTGCTGGGAATTTTATTCCATTTAAAAACTCATTGAGGGTTTTCAAAGTTCTGCAGTGGGACAGCAGGTGATCAGATTCACCTTCATTCCACCTTTAAATGGCAGATTACAGACGTGCCGTTAAACTCTTACAAAAAAAAAAAGGGGGGTGGGTGGTTGGAAATGAGCCACTTGGATGTTTTATATGAGGAACACAAAAATGTCTTTGACATAAAACTATTCACAGACAAAGACTTCAGGGAATTGCTTTGCTGTGGGACATTCACTGGAGTGGGACATTGTGTAGCTGTCATAATAATCACACAAAGTTCATTAAGAGCAAGCTTCGCTGCTAGCAGCTTTACCTCGAACTCCAGGTTCCACCTTCGTCTGCCGCCGTCGACTCGTTCCAGCAGAGGCTCCCACACCGCGTGGGTCTCATTAAAGTAATTCACCTGGGAACAGATGACACACTTGGTTTTTTTTCCACTGAGCACAGCAACTGCGATAACTCAGCTGTCAGAGAGATTTTTGTCTTTCTGGAATATATCAGCCTATCCCTTCCAATGGCGTCAACACCTTCGGTGGTAGGGTGAACACATGAATATTGTTCTTAAATACTCCTCAGCTAAAACTAAAGTTAGGAAAAAAAACCAAACTAAAGTTAGGAGCCTTGAATATATGACACGAGTTTCAGGATCAGGTCTGAATCCAGGTTGAGTTCTTACTTCAAGCGTCATATCAGCTCTCAGCTGTGGCAGCGAAGACCAGTTTTTGGCTGAACCATTGAAGGAGGACTCGGCTAGCAGCAGAGGGACTGTTCGATGACCCAAACCGGACTCCAGAGTCACCTGTACAACCTGAGGGCCAACAACAGCTCGTCAAAAAGAAGCAAACCTTCTTTAAAGATTTACAATGAATGTTCTGCGAAGACGCTGTGGTACCTTGACTTCGACGCCAAAGCTCTCCCCTTCATTTCGTCCGTCCGGTTCTCTGAAGCTCTCGGTGACCTCGGTGGCCTGGTCCACTCCCAGGAACCAGTAGTTACAGTTGTAGATGTTCATGACCGACCACAGGTCATGAACATCGGGCTTCGATGCCTCGCACTGTTGATCCTTCTGCTTTGCCGTCATGGCGGCTGTTATCGTTGTCACGGTGTTGAGGATGAACGGTGAGATCTGCAGATGAAAGACACACTGGTGACGAGTTCACTGACAGTCGGGAAATCACAGCGAGTCCAGAGAAGCAACACAGAGTCTCGAACATCTGTCAGTGTGATTTATAAATCCATAAATAAATACCTTAATTATGATTTCCTCCACTGTCACGGAGCCCCTCAGTGGCTGATTGGGGTGAGCTTTGGTTTCCAAGGTGACCGAACAAGGTCTCAGTACCTTTTGGATAGAGCCGGACTGACACCTTTAATCATGTTTGTTCATCTCTCATTACTTACAAGACCACTAACACATCACATTTTCTTCCTCTACAGTAAGACACCTTTTCAGTTAATCTGTTACCCGACTCATATTTTTAAGGGTAATGCAGTAAAAATGGTTTTACTCCCAGTCAACAACTCCAAAACGCTGTGGGTTTAAATGTGTCTGACATATCAAAAAACACAAAGCAGAACTGATATAACAGTGAGTGAAGAATCTACAGACTGCAAAAAACAAGCACACTCTTACGGTGGTGACAGCCTTGTCCTCTTTGTTTTGGATGAAGGGGCAGGCGAGGACCTTCAGCTCCCTCAGGCTGGCTCTCATGTTCTGTGTGCCGTCCTCCTCGGCCTGTAGCGTGAAGTCGCACTGAAATGAGGCCACGAGAGCTGGGGCGTCGGCCTTCATCAGGTTGGCCACGAACACCACCTCTGGGTCCACCACCACTGCTCGAAGTCGAGTCTTCACTGTGGAGGCTGCAGAGAGAAAACAGTCTTGTGATGGTTTTTCCTTTTTGGTTTCCGTTCTCGCTTTGTGATTCTGAATGGTCGTCTTTAGCTTGACTGAGAAGCTCTGAATACTTGGAAACATCAATTTTGTTCTTATTGCTAAATCAGATAAAGTAGACCATGATCTTGCCATTCAGTGGTCAGAAGTGTAGGCTGGGCTCCCTGCTGCAGTTGTAGACTAACCTTTTCTGGATTCGTTTAATATTCCTGTTGATACAGTAGATATACTCAATACCCCCCCGCCTCTCCGGTCGGGGTCTGGTGTCCCGATCTTACCAGTCTTGGGGTCGGCTCGTGGTTCAGTGGTCTGTCTCAGCTGCAGTCTGTCGCTCGGTGCAGAGGTGGCGGGCGGAGCCGAACTCTGCGGCAGAGCCTGCAGGAAGAAATCTCCGACGGCCATCAGAAACTCCACGCTTGCACAGAGATAGAGCTTCTGCAGAATGGCCACCACCTCCCGTTCTGCTGCGCTCTGCCGGTACGTCACGTCGATCGTGACCCCTGAGCTCTCTTCGTCTCTCTGCCTCACCATCCTGCAGCAAGTTAACACAATGTGTGATCACTGACCGAAAACTCTCATCTAAACCACTTTGGTAGCAAAAAACTAAACTGCTTTCCATATGGATCATATTCACTGTGCAGTGTGATCTGACTGTTTCTTCTTCTTCTCTGAAAAACAACTACAGACTATTTGATGAAGAACTCCATCAGTGATTGATCACGTCATCAACAAAACAGTCAGACAGACAGAAAGCAGAGATCATTTGACTTACCGCGAGGTGACCCTCTCCATGCCGGTCCTCAGGTCGTCCAGTGTGCAGGCAGTCAGCACCGTGCTCACCTCCATGCTGCCATTATTTAGGATCTTCCCTGAAGTTTTTAGCAAGTGTAGGGCAAATTCTCCCAGTCTGAGGTCCTGCTGGTTCTGGAGATCTGAGGACTGGGAACAGGGACAACAGTAAGGAAGAATAACTAACACTCACTTGCTTACTCCAACCACTGGACGAATAGCGTCCCCCAGATATCAGTTTCTTTTCACGTCCTTGTTGTTTCTAACTGACCTGTTTGGGGTCGAGGTACAGAACCAGACCAAGAGACTCGATGTTGAAGTTAAACTTGACAGTCTCCAAAGTTTCATCATCCTCTTCACTGTGGCTCACAGTCATCTTTCCAGAACCACCTGAGCAATCAGGACAAAGATCACATCAACAAAACGGCAAGAAAGCTTAAAGTGGATCTATTACACTCATTAACAATATTTTTATTCTTGGACTTTCGAGCAGCCTAGCTTGATTTAGGGTTCAAAATAATCCTGGTCTATCTTATATCGGATACATGTCAGCGCTTTGAGTACTCCGGGAGAGTAGAGAAGCGCTATATAAGAATCAGTCCACTTACCATGTCATCAGTCAGACACAGAAACCAGACAAATATCAGGGTTCAACTCTGGATGAGTGAAGATCTGAACATAAACTCAATCGGACCTGTCGGGGTGGCTCCAGCTGCTCGGACCTGCAGACTGGTCTCCTGCCGGGCTGCGGCGGGCTGCGGGCTTCCGGCCTCTCCCAGATTCTCCATCAGGATCCTGAGCACCACCTTCAGGTCGTCTTGACTGAGCTTCACCTGCACAGACGCATCAGTCACTACTCAGTCCGTCTACAGCTGTGACTAGAATGAGGCTACGGCTAAAGGCTGCTAGCCTAGCCTAAACCTGCGTCCTTATTGGAGGTGTCTACGCAGACTACAGACCACAACAAACAAACTGCATCCAGCTTCCAAGTAAAAGACGAGAGCAGCAACAATATAACTCTACAGAGAGGCCTGTCCTCAGGGGAAACTGTACCTTTGGTGGTTTACTTGTCGACTGGTTGTAAAAACAAGAATAAAATCATTAGTGGAATTTCTGACACATTTTATTCTATTGAGGAAGATTATTACATACGTCTTAAAACACCAACCATACTGTACAGCTACTCTGTTTTTATATCGTCTTGTAATCTGGGAAAGATTTTTGGTTACAAGTTTAATAATGTAACAAGGATACATGTTAACTTCCTCTTCCTCCTACCTTCATGGGTTTCAGATCTCCATCAATCTCCACAGCAGCCATCTTCTTGTACCAGGAAGCTGCCAGGTTTCTCTTGATGTTCAGGTGCAGGTTGACCGGTTCAAGCAGCTCTCTGCTAGGTTGGTTTGAGTCAGGCTCTAAGCAGGTCCTGGGCCACAACAGGAAGGAGTCAATGTGCTTACAGGAGAAACTAATCAAAGTCTGCATATAAAAACAAAAGCTTCCCCTTCAAAGCTTTCTGCTTGTGCACCTTTTTTTCCAAGCATGACCACAATATCCTTGGAATTCCTGATCTGACTACTTGCACATGCAGTTTCATCCTTTTTCTCAGACTGACCAGCAAATTTCACTGTTTTAACACAAAGGAGAGGCGCCAAGATTCAGGTGGCCAGATTGGGTCTTCCTTCCTGCACGTCTGTGGAGGTTCTCAGTCATTAAAGATGACGGTAGTCTTAGGAGCTTAAAAAGGCATTGAAACCTCTCGCGTCTTATCCAAGAGGTTTCCTTCAGCTTTAAAACTTTTAAAAACTGAAGAAGCTTCTTGGTGAAACAGACTTAAAGAAGTCCAGTCGCATCTTTTTACGCTCCTGAGACTTCCTTTAAGGTCCTATTCTAAGAACATCATTACTGACATTAAGGATTTCAGTCTTCAGGTTCTTTCATTTCACTTTGCAAAATCTTAATCAACACCATTAACATTTCTGACTGTGGATCAAGTCTGTGAGGCTTTGTTTCACTGACCTGGAGAGTTTCACCTTCGTCAGCTGGACGTCCATATTGTCGATGACGGCTGGCAGCGGACATCCTGTGACATCCAGCAGAGAGAAGCTGTTCCCAACAGTAATCAGACCCAGGTCCACCTCCAGAGCGTTGTTGGAGGTGGAGGACTGTGGTATGATGATGACTGGGGCCTTAAGGTTGATGTCCATGGACAGACGGAAGCTCTTCTGGGCGAAGTCACGTACGCTGGACGCGGCCTTCTCTGCTGCCTGAGCCGTCGCGGCGCTCAGAGCTTCTTTAGCGGTCTGGAAGTTGTTGGTGAAATTCTGCAAGAAAATTTTAAAAAAAAGACAGTTTTCTTCAGTCCAGTAGTGACTATTTCATGCACTCTTCTCAGGTGTTTTAAAAACCACTGGATCCAGGTTTCTTTTTGCATTTCTTCTCATTGGCAAAAATTAAAAAGAATAAAAGAAAACTCACAACATTAATACTGAGAAAGAAAAGCAAATCAAACTGGGAGGAGGGAACACAAATAACAAACCAGTGCAGGTTTAGCTGCTCGGGTCAAACTAAAAACAGTTCTACAAACTAACTTTCAATCATCACGTGTGACTCACCAGCAGGGACGTGAAGAACCTGTGCAGGTAAACCACCTGGATGCAGCCCACGTTTAACTTCACTGTGCCGTCAGTTTTGGAGGTGTCGGCGTAGCCCGCGCCCTCTGTGGCGTTAGGGGTCAGACTCACGCTGAAGCTGAACACCTCGTTACCCACGATGGAGATGGCCTGAAGCATAATCGGAGGGAAACCGTTAGCTCACACAAGAACACAAACACAAGAGGGCAGGACGATCTAAAGCAGTCCCGGGGTATCAGGGTCTGAAGACGTTATCAGTTTTGACACAATGGAGTGAAGCATTCTTATATAAGACAACTTACTGACCTTCTTGTGGAAGCTTTTGGGATCAACGTTTAGAACAATGAAGTCTCGCATGCCGCCTGATATATGAGTCTGAGGTCCTTGCATCAGCAGCGAGCCATTAATACCTGAGGTGCACAGCAGGCGTGTTACATCAGGTTTGGTAGTGAAAACTCACAGAAAACAAAATTCAGCTCCGATTCAGTACCTTGGATCTTGATGTCGGCCATGTTGCACAACTGGTCGCACACTAGGACGTTGAAGGCCCCGAGATCCATGACCACCTTCAGGTCTGTGACCTGAGAGTCTACAGGTGACACCAGGGCAGCTGCAGGAGGAAAATAACACATGACGCTGAGTTTTAAGTCAGACGCACATTGTGTGTGTGGGTGCGTGTGTGGTACTGACTGGACTTCGCAGAAACCGTCTTATCCTCCGTCTTTGGTCGGACTTCTTTCTCTGGAGACGGAACGCCGCCGCCAGATGACAACGCCGTCGACAGGAAGTTAATGGCTGACAGCAGAGCTTCGGTGTGAAGCATGACGTCGAGTGAGGTGAAAGTCACCTACGACCCAAGAGGAAAGCTGATGCATTTTAGTGGTTCTCAAAAATGTGCAACACCTGGGATGTGTGACAGATCTTAGTCCCGTGGTGCCACGTTCATCACTGGTATTTTATTAAGTTACTTTTCCCCTGTTCTACCTCTCGTCACAAATACAGGTTTTGTTGTTAGACAGCGTAGAGAGGCATTCCTAGAAAGAACAGGCTCAAATCTATCAGAACAGGATGACGTGGAGCAGTTTTTGTGTCTGTGTTGTAAATTTGAGTAAAACTTGGCTGATGCAGTGTGAAAATGATTTCTAAATCAGACAAATCCACCTGGTAACACTAGATCTGTGCAAACAGGGCTAAAGCCAAGCTTGCATTTCCTTCAACACGACCATGAGATGTGCAGAGATGATGCTGTACTGATCTGCAGGTGATGAACTATGACTCACATTGATCAGCTGCTCGGTGTTTTTGTAGACGGTGGAGAAGTTTGGTCCGGCACGGTCGGCCTGATGAAACAAACAGGCTGATTAAAAACTGCTGAATCTCAAACCGTCGACCCCACACGTAGTTCTCGCCTCCACCTCCCGTGCATGAACAGGTAATCAGATGGTGACCTCACCTTACAATACTCCACTTTGAGCAGTTCAGCTCCAGACTCGACTGAAGAGCTGATGAGGCACAGCGGCTCCCCACTTGAGTCTAAACCAGAAGAGAACAAAGCTGTCACATCATCAACATGTTCGACCGCACACGCACAACCAAAGAAACCAGTACAGACACACTTGTGCCAGTAAACCCTGGTGTGCTGTAACGCTCTGACCTTTGAACTCGAGGCACTTAAGGGCAATTTTTCGGATGTATGTTGCTGCACTCATGTCGTATTTTCTGACTTTTGTGTTAATGCCCATGTGGGCGACGTGAAAGACCAGGAAAGGGGACTCCTTCTGTTCCTTTGGCTTTTTCAGAGTCAGAAGCACCTTAAGAGAAGTAGCAGAAAACACATTTAGATGACAGCAGAGCGCCAACATGTTGGCGCAACAATGAATGCAAAATTTTGTATCTCTTCAGATACAGAATGATCTTTCAGACTCTCTAAAGCAGGGTGGGCAACTCCAGGCCTCGAGGGCCGGTGTCCTGCAGGTTTTAGATGTGTCCTTGATCCAACACAGCTGATTTAAATGGTTAAATGACCTCCTCAACATGTCCTGAAGTTCTCCAGAGGCCTGGTAACAAACGAATATTTTGATTCAGGTGTGTTGACCCAAGGTAAGATTTAA